AGATGCCTCATCCCTCACCGCAGGGGCAGCCCCACGCCTGACACGAGGTGGCCATCCTCAGCCAACCCTGGAACGCTGCCCCACAGCATCTCTCCAAGACTCTTCCCAGTTGTCCCCCTCCCCTGGTGCTGCCGATCATCCCCCACCTCAGGACCCGGACTTTATTCAGCTCCAAAAAATGCCACCGCGGCGCCGGTAACGAAGATTGATGGGGCTGAGATAAAGCTTTGGGAAAAGGCTCGCTGGGAGGGGTGGGGGGGGAACACTGGGATAAGGACGATGCCACCGATTGCCACTCAGGGACCTTGGTCACCTTCTCCGCACCCTTCACCCTGGGGTGTCCTTTAAGGGGGGAACCGGGAGGAGTCCCCACCGAAATGCGATGCAGCGAGTGCTGCAGTGCAGCTGCAGTTTGAGGCACGTTCGGTCGGTGCCTACAGCTGGGGAAAAAAACAAAAAACACCACCACCAACCCAAACCTCACCAACCGCCGTGTTTTTCTTCCGTCCCGCTATTTATTAGGCTACAAAAGAAGCCGGGGGTGGGGGGGGGGAGGTGGGAAAAAAATAACCCAGGGCACTTAATAACCTTACGCATGTAGAAACTCTCGGGGAAAACAGCCTGTCTCCCTGCCCGAAATCACTCGTGCTGCAGGTTGGGTTTTTCCAGCTTATTGTCATTCTCCCGAAGGCTCAGCCCTAAACGGGAGGCGAATTGGTTATTCAGAGCCGATTCCGGCTGGGGAGAGGCTGAAAAACGCAACGCCTGAGCTGGGGGAGGAGAGGGCTGCGGTAAAAAAAAAAAAGAAGATTTCCAAAATATTTCGGCAGTGCCCAACGCCCCGGAATGCCCAGGTCCCGCGAAACCCCCCCAAAAAGGGGCTATGATGGATGTTATGCCGCCTCCCCGCTGGCGTGGGGTTGGTGGGATGCCCGTGGGACACCCACCCCAAGCTGGGGAACCGTCCGCCGGCTCGCCGAGCACCGGTCCTCCCCGTTAATAACCGGCTTCGTCATTAAGCGTCAGCGAATCCACCCCCGCGCCTGCCCGAGCCGGGGATACGGCGCTAATCGTGTTTACCGCAGAGCCAGATCGTTGTGTTTGCAGCCGCTGAGCCCGTCACGGCCCACCGGGGACTTTCCCCCGACCGAAAAAAAAAAAACAAACCAAAAAAACCCCAACCAACAGCGGGAGCTCAATAATTGAGGCTTATTTATGGAAAGGAAATGCTTCGCGGCGGGAGCGTACGGCTCTCGGAGCTGAAATAGGGCCGGGGAAAAGGAAAAAGCCGGGCTCCGTCGTGTCCGTCCCCATCCCCCCCAACCCTGCTCGCTCCCCAGCCCACGCTGCGGCGCGGGGATCTCGTCTAGGATATATAAATATAGCTATAAAATATAGAAATCTGATCTGTAACGTATAAATATAGCTATAATATATAGAAATCTTAGCTATAAAATACATGTATTGGCTATAATATAGAGAAATCTTAGCTACAATATACATATATTAACTCTAATATCTAGAATTCTTAGCAATAATGTTTACGTATTAGCTGTAAATACAAAAGTCTTATCTATAATGTACATGTAGTAGCTATAATATAGAGAAATCTTAGCTATAATGTATCCATATTAGCTATGATAGACACATATTAGCTATGATAGACACATATTAGCTATAAATATAGAAGTCTTATCTGCAATATGTACATATTAGCAATAAGAGAGAGAAATCTTAACAATGATATACATATATTAGCTATAATACAGAGAAATCTTAGCTATAGTATACACATATTAGCTATAATATACACATAGCTATAACACACACATATTAGCTATAATACATAGAAATCTTAGCTATAATGTACACAGAGCTATAAATATAGAAGCCTCTATAATAGGCACATATAGCTATAATATAGAGAAATCTTAACTATAGTATACATATATTAGCTATAATACATCGAAATTTTATCTATAACATATAGAAATCTTATCTATAGTGTACATATATCAGCTATAATACATTGGAAGGTCATCTATAATATACACATATTAGCTATAATGTATGCATATTAGTTATATAGAAGTAATCTATAATATGTACATATAGCTATAATATATAGAAATCTTAACTATAATGTACATATATTAGGCATAATACATAGAAATCCTATCTATAGTATATAGACATTAGCTATAATGTACACAAATTAGCTATAATATAGCGGTATCTGTAATCTATAGAGATATTTTATACGTCGTACGGCTCTGCACGCCCCAGAGAGGGGCGAATATCCAAGGGGGTATTTTTATTTATTTTATTTTATTCATTATTTTTTTATTTTATTTTATTTTATTTTATTCCAGCGTCTCACCAAACGAGCTATGAATAAAACTCAACTTGTGCAGAAGAGGATTTATTTATGAGTTTCAGCTGAAATTTGCTCCGCGAGGGCCCAGAGTGGGCAGGCAGGAATACAGATGAGCTCCCGCTTCCCGCGGGCCACGCCGTCAGCCGGAGGCATAAATTTTACCTCCCATACACCATCTCTGCGCCTGCATATTTTTATTTTATTTTATTTCATTTTATTTTATTTTATTTTATTTTATTTGGATTATTCCAGCAATATTGACTCTCCAAGGAAATTAAAGTCGGGGGCTCCTTACGGATGCTCGCCGGGCTCCCGGCTCAGATTGGGCAAATACAAACCCCGTTTCGGCAGAGGGGACGATGCCACGGCCAAAGGATGTAAAAAAAGACCTCCCCTCCCCAAATCAGGCAAACCAATTTCCCTTCATCTTTAATTAATTAGCTCGTGCTAATGAAAGCCTCACATTTCCATGACGACCCGGGATTCCAGAAGCCCAGCCCAGTACTGCAGCAATAGTTGGAAATTAAACCGATAAATAATAGATGCTCACTGTTAATGAACTAATTTAAAATGGAGATTTATTTATTTATTTATTTATTTATTTTAAATTCACAACTTTTTCTGCTCGCAGCAAAGCCATTAGCACTCGCCTGGAAGCAGAATTAGGTCAGTCAACAGGAATCAATTCCTTTTATTAGCAAATTGAGAGGCGCTTTAGTATTTATCAGTTTACTGTGAAGAAAACACTTGGCAGGAAAATTCCCCACCCCCTCGCCTTGTGAAACTCCACTTTGAATCCCACGCAAACTTTCCAGAATTAAATTTATTAGGGATATAAATTTATAATGGCTTAACTCGCTACACAGATGGAATATATATTGCTAATGTAATTTTCCAAACCGGCGATGAGCACGTCTGAGGGATTTATTATTTTTTTTTTTATTTTATGGCAAAGTAATACTGATGTACATATTGCACAATGGAGAAATATATTAAATATATACAGAATCATGGAATCACCCAACGGTTTGGGTGGGAAGGGACCTTAAATCCCCCGCAGTGCCACCCCCTGCCCCGGGCAGGGCCACCTCCCCCCAGCCCAGGTTGCCCCAAGCCCCGTCCA